TTTTTATATATGGAAAAAAATATTTCAAAATTCGCCAACTTCAAAATTTATACGTTATTTAATACTATATTAACATTAAACTATTAAAATTTATTAAATAATCAGATTTTTAAAATAAAATATTCTCAAAATTTCAAAGTAAGCGCGGTTTTCATTTTTATGTTTTGAGAAACAGTTTTTCAAAAAAAAAAAAAATAACGCATATTCAGCAATTTCAAAACAGACACTCAAAACACAAAATATAAAATGAATTCAAAACTCAAAACTGAAACACAAAGAGAACAACCCCCTAATTTTTTGGGATCCGAATTCAATTTCACACCATCACTAAAATTACACACCTTTTCAAGTATGCCCTTTTTGTACCGAAAAATACCATCATGACTTTAGTATCGACATTTAGAGTTAGAATTGGTTGGAATTTATCAAGTATAAACATGGAAAGGTGACTTTGTGTTGATTTCAATTAAATATTCGGACTTAATCCAATAATCAAATTATGAAAATAAATAGATAACTTGTTCTACTCATCCAATAGATCATCGGGGTATATTTGAAAACTCAAAATCAATTTCAGTTGAATAAAAATTACGATCCAAAGTTGGAAGGGAAGGAAAGAGAGGAAAGTGGTTGGATATTTATCTAACTCAGCCGCTCGCCTAGCGCTTGAGTGGTGAGGCTGTCGCTCGAAAGACAGACGATCTGTTTCTGACGTTCGAGCAACAAACATGCGACGGGTTGGAGATGGCAAAAGCTGCTACTCTTGGCAAAGATTGTTGAATTTTAGGACACAACACTTCACTCACAACATTTTTTCCTCTATAAATAAGATCATTGGGACGTTAATTTTTTCATACCAATGATATGCAATCATATAATAACATAAAATTCCATATTTTTTGGCCAAAACTTTATATAAAGGCTTTTTTTTTTCTTTTCATTCAAAAGGAAGTACAATAATTTAATTTTGGTTCGTTGATTCTTGTGTTTTGGAGTGCTAATAACACGAAAAGATTATAGTTAAATCTTGGGTATAGATTTCCATCATCCATAAACACAGTTGTGAGTCAAATTCGACTTAAGGGCAAAAAGTTCAACTCTCGCATCGACTTTGATTTCGTTTTGTGGTGGTAGTTTGATCATTTAATGATTTATTTTTCGTTTCATTGCCATTACTCTGTCCAAATTTGGTACGATTGGTAAGTTTGTTTTTAAAGTCATCAATCAATTCAATTTTTCATAAACAAATTCAACATTTGATTATAGTTATACAACTAGTTTAAAATTATAAACGTCACAACCTTAAAATTCGAACCGATTACTGAAATTAGCAATTAGCGTTGAATTATTGGGTCATTGTTCGAATCAGTCACTGGGTTCAAGCATCAGGTTGTAGCAAGATTTTAATTTAAATGGAACATTTTAGCAAAAATATTACATTTAAAAAAACCATGATTATCGTGGAACTCAACAGCGAAAAAATATGTACCCAAAGTAAAGTAGATATATACCAAAATTAAATGCCCCAGCCTTTCTTTATTTTTTAATCGCTAATCAGTAAAAAGTTTGAAATTCTGTTTCCTATTGTTAATTTGTTTTTGCACTTTTAATCATTAATTTTTGTGAAACGTAACAAATTATATAGCAAAACTCGTTATTCTATACATTTTGATCAATAAATAATGGGGTTGTCATTTTTAAAAAAAATAAATAAACATAGAAGAAAGCACTAAAAATAAATAAAATTGTAAAGAATAATGACATATACACACGAAAAATGGAAATTTTATCTTCCCAACCAAGCTAACTACCCGAATAATGCTACTTGCAGTCGCTCACTGCAACAGTCGCCCTATATTGCACACACATGTCAAGTGTGTATTTGATGCATTAAATGTGGTAAAAAATTATCACATTAATGTATCAAATAACTACATGTCATGTGTGTGCCACATAAGACGACTGTTGTAGTTAGCGACTGCAAGTAGTATTACTCTAGCTACCCATCCATCATCAACACACATCACATTCCATTCCCACTCCACCCCCACCCATTGCCAAATATCACCCTCAATAATGCAATCACTTTTAGTTGCGATTCCGTGACCTAAGCTGCTAACTTTTATTCTATCATTTTTTTAAACATTTTCAAATGTGGCGGCATTGATGCATTGGTTAAAGTGATTGCGTTTGTGGAATCGGTGTTTGGCTGCAGATGAGATTGAATAAGGATTGGATTCGGTGGGTCGGGGAAAATAAAATATTCTAATTTTTTATTTTTTGGTGTTAAGATGTATTTAACTGTTTAAGTGTGATCAATTTGTCTTTAGTGCGTTTGTTTTACCTTTTTTTTTTTTATTATATTTATTTATTTAAAGAGAATGACAAATCCTTTATTTAATGACCAAAATTGAGGGAAAGATCAATGATGAGTATTGTCGCGTAATCAAAAGGTTGAAATGAATTATGTCATTAAAAAAGAGGGTAAATTTATTACATTTCGCAAGCGTCGATAACGAAAAGTGAAAATTTGCTATATACGTTTTACATTACATAATGTGCAATCTATTCCAACAACAATTTTTGTTAAATACCACGTTTTAATTCCAATGAGAGTCCCCAAGTTTTGTTTATTTTTGCACTTACATTCTCAACTTTTTAAGTCTTATTTTTATCTCCAAATTTTAATTAATTAATGCAGATTGTCCCTGACGATCATATAAATCCATCGTGCTCTTATTTTCAAATAAGTAAAAATGTTTAAAACAAATGTTCGTCAAAGTATTTTTTCCAGGCTACCATGGCATATTTATAGAAATCATTATCATAGACGTGCTCCTATTAAGTGAATGTTAAAAACATGACAAAAGCTTAAGGACTCAAGTGTGAAAATGAAAAAAAACAAGAAACTGAAGACTTTCAATGCGATTAAAATGTAGTGCAATCACCGAAAATTATTATATGAATGCTTAATTAAGTGCGTGAGAAATTTAAAATATAGTATTCAAATTTAACATAAAAAACTATCGCACGTTCCTAGTAATTTTGATGTGCGCCCCGAATCATATATATATATATATACAGAAATGATCTAATGAGCACCGGTGCTCATCTTATCCTAAGCACCGATGAGTTGGCACATTAATTCATTGGTGGATAAAGATTTTGTGAGTTCCAATCCACCAATGAATTAATGTGCCAACTCATTGGTGTTTAGGATAAGATGAGCACCGGTGCTCATTAGATCATTTCTGTATATA